AACCATCCAGGTGGTTTTTGAACACCTCCAGAGATGGAGACTCCACCCCCTCTCTGGGCAGCCTGTCCCAGGGCTCAACAGGAGCTGCCTGTGTCTGTCTGTTAGTGCACTGGAAGCACCTAACTCCAGTGACAAAGTTAGTGCAAATCCTTTTGCTTTGGGAATGTCTTAGGCCACCCCTCCAAGCTCAAAGCGGGAACAGCTCTTTTTAAGTCACTACTGGTCAATGTAGAGACAGGCAAGTCTCCTTTGCTCACACCAGAATCTGCCTGGGGCTGGTATTTGACACAGAACACAGTGAGCACACTGGCAGCGTCTGGGGAGAAGAGCATCAGCTGGAGAAAGGCCAAGGAGGGTCTGTGCTGCTGAGCGAGGGAGATGAGTTACCCCGTGACAGAAAGAGGAGAAGCCCGTTACCTGTGCTCTCTATCGCCAGCTGATCTTGACCAAAGTGAGAATCCAGGCAGCCAGTTGCAGAGGGAATTGGTGGGGAGCTCCGAGAACGACTGCTGTTTTCTACTTCACCCCCATCCAAGTCATTGTCAGTGTAATCCCTGTGGGGAGAGACAGATAGTACTGCCACCACATGTTAAGCAGAGATGCAGGCAGGGAAAACGGTGACTGGGATTAAAATCCATCAACAAATAAAGCAACAGGACTGTAGAGACTTCACTAGAATGAATGTCCATCCCCTCTTCACCTGCAGAGCCCAGTTCATAGAATGGTTTGGATTGGAAGGGACCTTAAAGATCATCCAGTTCCAACCCCCCTGCCATCAGCAGGGACACCTTCCACTAGACCAGGTTGCTCAAAGCCTCATCCAACCTGGCCTTGAACACTTGCAGGGAGGAGCAGCCACAGCTTCTCTGGGCAACCTGGGCCAGTGTCTGACCACCCTCACAGTGAAGAACTTCTTCCTAATATCTCATCTAAACCTCCCCTCTTTCAGTTTAAGACTGCACCGAGGCGATCACAGTTAACTGAGTGTGGCCAAGACCAGCCCATGACAAAACAGAAGGGGCTCTGTAGCTTTCCAAAACAAAGAGCTCTGCCCCCAGCTCTGGATGAGCCTCAGCCCCTTCCAAAGCAACAGAAATGGTCAAATGCTCTCCCCAGGGAACAGGCAGCTTCACAGAATGACTGCAGTGGGTTGTGACAATGTTAGTTAGTGTGCCAGCACAGAGCAAGTGATGAGAAAATATCTGGCCACCCTGGGATAATTTGAGGTTTCAGGTGTTTTCCTGTCTCGCATCAGAATAATAACAATAGTTAAAAAAAAAAAAAGTCTAAGACTTCATCTAATGCTTTTAATTGATTTGACTTAAATATTTCACTTTGACCTTTTAAAACATTTAAGTTCCAACCTTTTTGTAAAGTATTTTCAGTAATTAGCATGTATTTCAAAGTGAAGAATTTGCCTCAAAGGCTGTCAGTGGGGATAGAAACCAATTCAGGCTCCAAACCACCAGAAATAGTGTAGTTTTTAACTTACAAAAACTCCCTTCTCAAAACCACATTGAACTGAGTTATTTCCTGAGATCAGCCCTGAATCCCTGACCCTAGCCTTAATTTTTGTGAATGCATTTGTCTGAAACAACATGGTATTTTCTGAGACAAGAACAGTCCACATCCAAGCACATAATTGCTTTATCTTCCCTCCCCACACTAACAGTGTGTATGTTCTGAGAATATCCAGTGTATCCCTCCATGCTCCCACCCAGGACATCTCCTAGAGCAGAATGCAGCAGAAAGCTTCCCTGGGAGGTTAATATTACTAATTGTAGTGTGAGAATATTCCACGCACGTGGCTCCAGGGTGGAGGACGTACTTCTTCCTTCCTAAACGAGTCTGCTGAGTGAAGTAGTCATAGCGCTCTGATTTTTTCCACATGTAGTAATACTCCACACACTCCCCCACTGACCGGGTACGGACCTGAGGAGAGATACCAAAGTCAGGAAGCCACGCACCAAGATGCATCTCATGGAGCAAGGACTATCCTCCCATTTAATCAGCACAGAAAATGTCAGTGCATTACAGTGATTGATATTGCTATGGACACGTCTACGCTGCAGAACGGAAGCACATACTGAGATTTCCAAGGTGGGAATCGGCCAGAGAATGAACTCCCCACAGTGCACAACTGTTCCTGCAGACCCCAGTGTGGGCTCACACACGGCACATTCGTGCAGGACTGTCCTGCGCTTCCAGGAGCACACTTAACATCAAGAGAGCAAACCTGCATCCATTTTCACTGGCCAGCGTCAACATGCCCACAATTAATCAGCAGTAGAACTGGACTCTCTGGTTCTGCCAACTCCCAGCACAGCAGCATATGTCCTGGGGCCCAGCTCTCCCTACAACAGCATCTTTCATTCTAGAGGACCCCAGGGGACTTTACAAAACATCCACATGCTCAACTCACTCATTCACAGAAGTACTGCAAGGGCTGAGAGTTTGGAAAGAACTTTTGAGACTCCAGAAAGGGCTAATCAGTAATTAACTGACATCACTCATGCAGGTCAGTGTTGTTTGTGACTTCTCCCACCTGGAAAATAAGGCAGAGCAGGGCAGTGAACAGCCCATCACCTGCTAGCATGAGTCAACACAAAGCCTGGGGTTGGAACTCAGCAGTCCTGAACTTCCTGCATTAGCCGAGGCTCAAACACACCTCTGCTGCAAATGCACGTGCCTCCTCCCCTTTGCCTTAGCGGGGTGCAGGGGTGAGCGTCCTTACCTTGTTTGCTTGGATAAGGTGAAAGTTTTTCCCGTGGACCCTGAAGCCATGTTCAAAATTTCTACATTCTTCTTCACTCCAGGCACAAAGTTCATCTATTGCAGAAAGAAAGAGGAATTGGAGTAGATGTACAGAATCTAGAATGAGTTGCATGTGTCTTGATGTCTGGGGTAGAACCCAGATACGGGAGGTTCTCACCTCTGATAACCTTCACGTTGAACCGTAACCTCCTCAGCGCCTCTTCTGCATTGAAGTTGCATTTGACTAGTTCATACAAAGCCTGGGAAACAGAAGAAAAATTACTGACAGCACATACCTGAGCAACACACCACCAACCAACCTGCTCATGACTCACATTTGTTTTGTAAAACGTTATTTTTCCCAGGAGTTACTTTTCCACCAACCCCAGAGTGACCATCAGCACAGGTTATCTGACTTTTCCAAGCACTGGATTACAAACCCTGGGACTGAAAAGATGCAGTTCTACCAGCAGCTCTGCAGATTACAGCTGTGCTTGTGTTCCTGCAGACTTACTGTGAGAATCTAACCTGGCCAGCTTAGAGGAAACAACTGCTCTGAAGTGTCTTAGCCAAATATTTGATCTTCTGCTGGCTTTAAGGAAGAATTAGACAATGCCATGGAGGATGGATCTCAAAGGATGCTCCTGCTGCAAGCTCTGGCTCAGAGAGTTTGGGATACTGGGAGAATACAGTCAAAACAGTAGCTACTCTCTACTTGCCCAGCCTGTTACACGTTTTCCACAAACATCTGTTACTGTGTTGGAAGAAAAGAACTGAGCCAGACAGGCCTGTGGTCCGATCCACCGCTGCCTTTTCCTGTCACCCCAAGAGGAGGGTGAACAGCCTCGCGAGACTGCAGCTGAGCAGCACACCCTCACACATCCATGAAGGAGGAGTAGGGGATCACTGCAGTTAGGTCTCAACTCTCTTTCCTGTGGCTCACAGTCAGGATCCCTGTAGGAAACGCTGCACTATTACACCAGCCCCATTACAGCACCTGCAGGCAGTGAGAAGCCCCCACGTTACCTGTTCATTGTCCTTCACCACCTCTCCTTCTGGCAGGCTGCTGCCAGACAGCTCCTCCCTTCGCCGCTTCACTGCGCGGTACAGGAACTCTTCAACCTCTCTCTCAGGGAGGATGTTTGGGTCCCAAAGCAGCTGATCTTCATTTTCATAGGCTAACAGAAAAAACACTGGAATAAGCTAATCAAACAGAGAATTCTGATGCTTTTGAGAAATACTCTGCATATATATTCATGGGAGAGACAGAAGGAGAGGAATCTTTGCTTTGCTTAGTACTCCAACCTGCCACTAGAGATGACAACCATCTCTGTGAAGGTACTGCATTTTCCCCTCATGATTCTGGAGGCAGATAAGCTTAATACACTTTATACCCCTTTTAGAGCCCTAAAAACAGGCTTGTCTTGCTTCCACTTCTTCAGAAGGGTTGGTTGACAAGGCTTTTGTTACCATGTTCTCAAAGATTGCTGCTTTGATTCATTAATCTTGGCAACTAAAACCCCTAGGTTCTAAGGTGTCTTTTCCAGCACACAGTAAACAAAAGGAGTGGGAGGCAAAGGCAGCTTTGAGCTACAACCCTGGCCTAGGCTCAAGTCCCTGTCCCTGTCCTGGACACAAAACTAAGCAGCTGCAAGGCTATCCCTCTCCTGTGATAGCCTGTGGTGCTCCTCCATGAGCTGCTCCATCCACACAGAATAGCAGGAACACACTGCATCACTAAGTGATTCTTCCCCCTTTCAGCTTTCAAGGCTCTTAGTCCATGAGAACATGGCACACAACAACGCAGAGAGATGTTGAAGTAAAATAACAGCACAGAGGAAACCAAGAAGAAAGACTCTGCAATAAAAAATAATCAGAAATATTGAGATTTTTCTATTCAGATAGAAACATTAGTACCCTCTGTACTTAACTTGCTTCTACAGGCAAAGGAACCAACTCTTCTGCCCTGTAGAATCACTGAAATCAGGCCAGAAGCGCTACAGACAGGACGTAAAAGACCCCCACCAGGATCTACCATCAGTTTCCTTTCATTTCACACTGATGCAAACACACAGGTTATGGAAAACACACCCTAAATCTGTGCTCTGCAATACAGACAGCTGAGAGCACCGATTAACACTGAAAAGTTCTGAGAACTACATTGGGTAAATCTGAAATAGTAGCTGCAAAACTGACAACTTTTATCTCCCTTAACTAATTTGCTCAGTGCCAGGATTGCACTAGTTATCTACAAATCCAGGCACCTCCATCTATCTACTCTGCAGACATCCTAGCAAATTGGAAACTGACCAGCTCCAGGGAATACTCAATGAAAGTAACTCTGAGAAAAATAAATTTAAAGTATCTCCAGAAATGTATTCCTTCTCTGAGACCCCAGCTGAGACCCCCTCCTCCAAACCTGTCGCACCAACCCAGTTTTCACTGAGCTTCTCAAGAAGTTCTTCACTGTGAGGGTGGTCAGACACTGGAACAGGTTGCCCAAGGAAGTTGTAGATGCCCCCTCCCTGGAAGTGTTCAAGGCCAGGCTGGATGAGGCTTTGAGCAACCTGGTCTAGTGGAAGGTGTCCCTGCTGCTGGCAGGGGGGTTGGGACTGGATGAGCTTTAAGGGCCCCTCCAATCCTAACCATTCTATGATTCTATGATTCTGTAGCTGTGCTGCCAGCCCTGTTCAAACAGGTTAGTTTAAAGCTAGCTCAGGCAGAGCTCTCAATTTTGGTGTCAACACTGAGAGGTGCCAAACCCAAGAGACACAGAGCAGAACTGGTGAACCAGGGCCCTGTCAGATGCTCAGGCCAGCAGCCCTGCATCCAAACGAGATCCATAAAGCAGGCTGCCTTACCTTTTTCACCGTGCCTGTTTAAGTGGAGGATGGGAACAGTGGCTTGGTACTGAGGTCCAACCATGATCTCCTGAAATATCACCACAGAGAAGGGGGTAAATTGAAATGGAAAATGCTCCATGTAGGCACTGAGGTGTACTTCATGATTTAGGGACTACGACACCACATGGCCGATTTATATATCTGTAGTCCCCACTGTCACTGTTACTTCTAGGGAACCCTGACTATTTTATAGGGTAACTAAAAAGATTTACTACCAACTAGATGATACTTTGGGGACCTCAGGCATTTACATAGTTTTAATGTTAAAGATATATGGCAAGCAGCTAAGGCTGGAGTTAAAAGAAACGCAGAAGCTCTCCCGCAACCTTCACAACCAGGATGAATTTGTAAGTCTGCTCCTCTCTTTTGTGTGATGGTTCCCCCTCAGTAAATCCTGCTGGGAACACTGCACAGTATTTCACCTTTATAGGGCTACAGGCTGCAGTTTTAATTTACCAAGGCACAACAGCATCTTCCATATCTGAAGCAGAAGATAACTTCAGATACAGATTTCAAGATTGTCTTGAAACACCTCCTGTAATCCACATCTGCCACTGCCTTCCACAAAACACAAGGCACTGAGCAAAACAAAATAAAGAGAATTGCTTGAGGAAATATCACAGTGCTTTGGTGTTGTGTTGTTCTCCTGGTGTGTTGTATTATCTTTCCTTCCCAATGGATTCAGATCATTTACCTTCTTACAATCGTTGGATGGGATGGAATCCTCCTCTGAATCCTCAGCCATGGAGGAAGCACATGGAGATGAACAGGGCTCTTTGTCTTCATCAGCAAGGAAGTTGTTTGCTTTGTGGGAAGGAAAAGATCTGTAGTTAGGAAATGTTTTGGTTTTGGTTTGTTTTTTTCCCCTACTGCTCTATGTTCCCTCCCCTTCCCTTCAATTGCTGTCCTACAGTTACTTTCAGCATGCTTCTCAGTGACAACTTACCTATTCTTTAATTTTCTCCTTCTAAATAAAAGAATTTGCACACTTGCCACATGGGTGGTGCTGACCAGGGGAGCTCAGACTCCTTCGTTTGGCAGGTTAGCAGAAGGAATAACATCACTTTACGCTGAGTCTCTCTCATGCACTTTGGCTTCCTTTGTATTCCGATATTTAGGAACTGACACAATATATCACACCACTAGTACTACTGAATTTATTCACTTCTAGAGATGTCAGATCAGGTACTGATCTTTCAGATTGCAATTACAGCAGGCAGCAGAACAATTCTCACTTTCTCAATGAGCTAAAGACAATTCTCTCCTCATCCCACTGCTCATCTACGTTTTATCATGTCTGAGCTACGCTCTGTTAACACCACTGGCACTCAGGTTTATTTGCAGCCCCCAGAAGGAAAGTGGAAAAACTGATGTCAAGAAACTTAGTGACAAAGTAAAGAATAACATTATTGTCCTATTCTGCACATCACATCTAAGTAAAAAACAGTTACTTAGAAATTAGTGACACATACAGCCAGGCTGGTTTGGGAATAGGTCTGATGCATCGTGGGATGTGACGGATGGAGTCAGATCATCAGCTGAAGACTGTGTCTCCTCCTCTTCTTCCCCTGAAAGCAAATCCTTCGCTATTTGTTCCTTTTAACAACAACAAGAAAGTGAAAAATATTTTTAAATTAAAAAAAATATATATATACTGGGGGGGTGAGGCCTAGAGTAAAGCATTTCTGGCCAAAGGTGGCCACATCCACAGATCTCCTCACCCTCCCATAGCTTCTCCAAAGACAGATTCCCTCTCACACTCCCCACCACCCATAAGTTATCTTCTCTAGAAGCACTTCTACAAGTGCCAAGAGTGGCTTCCTATGGAAGCCATACAGAAGATGAGCAAGTGGCCCTTTCTCTAGAGCTCCACCCAGAACAAGTATCTCACAGATCCTGGAAGGGAAAAAAGCTTTCTACAGACTTCAGCTAGAACAGGAGGAGCCATAGCTCCAGCTGGGAAGAAACAAACCTCCCCCAACCCTCCACAGATTCACATGTATGTGTAAAGACTTGCAACCCAAGTTCTATATAGAATTTTTACAGTGTTCTTTTTAAACTGCTTATACTTCCTCCAGTCTCTTCTAAATTCTTTAAATTCAATTTCTGCACCTGGTGTTCCTCACTGGGACACTGGGACCAGGCAGGCCCTGTCCCCTGGCATGTCAAACCCCACCTGAAAAGAGCAACTAAATGTCTCGAGCTCCAAGGCAGTACAGTCACCTACAGCACAGGCTGACAGCACAGCAAGCTGCTCCCCAAGCAGACAGCTGCTCTTACCTTATCCAGAGTCATATCTGGGAGATTTGGAGTAATATCATTGCTCTCGCTGTCCTGCTCCGAGATGGGATCAGATGCCTCATAGCCATAAAGTGCAAGCAGCTCCTCAAATGGCATTTCACTGCTCTGAGCGAGAGGAGGACAAAGCTTCATCAGGAATGGAACAATCACCGAGTACAACACCAGCTGTAGTGAACACAGAGATATGCAGAGGCAGTCAAGGCAGCTCTGCTCTCCTGGGGGCTCTGAACTGCCTCGGGTAACACTGCATCATGAAGAATGCACGGTCTGCCAGGACCCACCATAAACTGTTCTTCTCAAAGGTATAGAGAAGCCAGGAACTTTCACCCCAAAGCAATACAGTCAAGGGCATTTTAAAAATATACTTATTTTTATGCTAGATTTCATGCTGGTGAAGAGAGGCCAGACAGCAGAACTGTATTTATACTGAGGAAGGGAAGGAGCAACTCCCTGTATTAGGCTTGTGCCTGACCTGAAGAGACAGTCCCTGTCACCAAGAACACACTTTGTGTTCCACTGAGGCCTCCGTGGGACCATCCACAGGAGGACCCCACATCATCTCATCTTCGTGGTTCTTCCACTGTGAAATGGACACACACCCAACAGCTCTTCAGCAAGGTGAGCAGAGACCACCTGGTCAGAGTGGAGACTTGGCAGAGGAAGACTCTGGAATTTACTGCTGTCACCTGTGGTCAAACCCATTCCTCCCTATCCAAATGCAAACCTAAGACAATGGAAATGAACCCAGCACACTGCCAGCTGCGCAAGCAAGTCAGTGTTCCACACAAAGATCTTTGGTACCAGTACTGGAAAAGCAAACAAGAAAATCCAGTCCCTTCCCCTCCCTTGCTGCCTTTACCTGAGAGGCACTGAAACTCTTTTCCAGCTCTTCTAAAGATTTCTGCTTCTCCTGAGTATCATCCTCTTCTTCCCTTTCTTCCCGTACACCATAGTTCTGCGAAAGGATCTCTGCCAGGTTCAGTCGATGATCAGCTGAGCCCATTGACACAACTGCAGGGATTAGAAGAAGCTGGACACTAGCACCACGCCAGACCAAACCTTCAGATACAACAAAGCTTGGGACGACCCCCTGTTGTGTGTGCCACCATGATAAGCCAGAGGAAGAGACTAGGTAGAAAGGAGTGAGAAGGGCTGGGGAACACAACTGAAAGAAGTCACTCCCTGAGCAGGAAAGTGCAAAGCCTGGTTCTCTGCACATTTGAGCCCCACCACTGACTGAAAGCTGAACCTGAAGGTTTCTGAGCATTTATGTGTCTCTCCTGACTGCGTTTGTTCATGTCCTAACCCACAAACACACACTGCAGCCTTTCCCTCGCCTGAGGCACTTTTAGGATAATCAGCCCTTATTGCAAGAACGGGAAAATGGACACTCGTAGGAGCTTTGGCATCTTGAAGACTTTCCTCCTCTGTGAAATGGCATGGGAATCAACCACCAAGTCTGAATGATGTTGGAAGGAGAAGGGAACAGACGGGCTGATCACAGGAGCCTTGTTTCCTCTGGAAACCAGACCAACAAACAGAATCATACTTGAGGTGTGGCTACCTGCTGCGCTCTGAAGGCCAGGCTCTCCGGGACATAGACTGTGGGCTGGGTATGGCACCACCCTGGGACTCTGCCTGCCGACCGAGGCCTTCAAGGAAAGAGAAAAAATACGGTTGAGACATCACTTCTTAAAAATGGAACACACCTCCAGCCACTTAACCCCACCAGCAAATGAAATTAAGTTAATTTCAATGCAAAAGTTAACAAAAAACACACAGGGTAGCATTAGAAACTGGGTTGTGTAAAAAGAGCTCTAGTCAAGTGTATTTAGCAGCTCTTCCAGGCCTCCTCTCCTCCAGATCCATCTCCTTCCCCTCACTCTCTAACTGCACATGGCAGAGTTTCCATCTGATCTTTTTTATCTTCAGCACTCCACTAATTATTTAGCCTCTCACCACTTTAAGACCTCAGATCCTCATGGCTTATATTGTCACATAAAAGAAGGATTGTGACCCTAAGCCATTATTCTAAACACACACATCATGCTTGTTTGAACACAGCATCTTTGTGAACTGACCCACTCTTGGGAGAGGTGATGGGAAGTGACCAGCCACAACACGCTGGCTTCTCCCTAATGCCTCACCATATCCAGAAGGCTCAGAGGGGTGAGCAAAGGAATTTAGATCTGAGCAGGCAGTGAAGGAGTCTGGTAGGACTGAGAGTGGCAGAAGCGAGGTGTGAAAGGGTGAGACAGGTAGACACTGAGAACAGGCACCTGCTTTCTGGCATTCAGTGCTCGGTCAGAAGTTCAGGCAGCAGTATGGAAAACAACCCAGAACATCTGCTGCTCCTTGGGCTGCTGTACATGGAAATGCTGTTCATCAAGTTCAGCCTAGGTAGGGAGCAAGCAGGTAATTAACCCAATGCCTTTGGGTGACTGAGAGCATCCGACTGCAGAAGAAAATCACAGTGTCAGTCCCCCAGTCACCAACGACACCTTTTTTATGATCCTTGGCCATTAACAATCTCAGCCGTGCACCCTCACTCCTCACTTAGCGGGAGCCAGGACATCTACAGCACGAGGCTCTTGCAACTTATTTAAGAAAACATAGTTACAGCTTCACATCAAAATTTGTCCTCTAACAATTTAGCAAAGCATACACCAAAAAACCACCCCGGACTCTGGGTTCTGAGTTAGCGCCTTTAGGTATCAACACAGATATTGCAAATTCTTTAACGACTCGAGAGGCAGCTGTTTTCTAGGTGTAATTACCAATAAAACAACGGTTGGCCTGGAAGGCAGCAGGAGATACTGTCATATGAGAGAAAGACCAAGAAGAAGGGAAAGGATCTGTGAAGCTGCTGTGGAATTCTTGCTCCTTCCTCTACCAATTCACCATCCCCGAGCGTGTGATTATTAAGCAGCACAATAACCCCACTGGAGACCACTTTGTCTGGCCTCATGCAGAGCCCCGTGACCGTGCACACGACAAGGAAAGGGAGGAGTTTATGGGATAATGAAAGGGGACAGAACGGATCCGGAGACCCTCCATTCTGAGGACAGTCACACCGGGAAACAGCTTCGTAACTCAGGAAAGTGCCAAAGCCCTTCTGCTGCACCTTGCTGGGACGTGACCCAGTATTAAACCCTCTTGGATAAACCCCTCCAAGCAAACAACCCCCTGGTTTCATGAGAAGGACAAGGGTGAGGTCTATACTCACACCCTCTAGTCCCCAGAACTCTCTTTCCTGAGACAATGATCGATCTATCGACCGCGCCTCCTTCGCACGGGGATCAATGAGCAGCTGCATGCAAAGGATTCTGAAAACAAAGACTGAGTGGCTGGTTGGAAAAGGTATCAAGAATACTTCAGGAAGGATGAGATCTTCTATCAATGATCAGGTGCTGAAACCAAGAGTACAACAGGAAGACAATTCAGTAACTAATAATGAGTTTATTTCCCCAAAGCAGTAACGTAACTTTGGAGCAAGTGGGAGCTGCTGCGAGCTGGAGTTGCCAGAAAATAACTTAACGCTGCTGTGTTTGGGTTGAGAAAAGAAGAAACAAGTGACAGGCAAGGCAAAGGCCCACTCCACACCCAGATTTAAACAGGTGTGAAACTGAATGATCCCTCGGATTATTTACACATCCAGAAGACAGTGGAAACAAGAGTCAAAGACAAAGGAGTCGGGGAGAAAGGCAGGTTTGGCTTAAAAATGTAAATGATGAGAGAGAGAATATTCCTGATGACACTGACTGCCATGCCACGTGACACAGTTATTTCGTTTGAAGGTGAGGTAGCTGCAGCCTGACACTTTAAACCCAAATATCACACCAGAGGCAGACACTGCAACAGCGTCCCCTGCGCCAGAAAGAGCAGTGACAGCGAGGCACTGCCAGCCACCTCCAGATGAAGAACAGTTCTTGGCCAAGGTGTAGATGCTCCTGTTGCTGGTGACAGTTTTGGTCACCATGAAGGGTCACAGGGGTGAACTCTGTTCATTTTGACATGATGCTGGAAAATGGCTCTTACATCCCTGGGCCATTTAATCACAGGGTGCAGGGGGATCAGAGATTAAATTCCTTTAATCTCCCTTTCAGCTTCCCAGCAGCTGGGTACCTTCCATCAGCCTCTGCTTCTCAGGCAGGAGAATAACTTTCCTCTCAAAAGTTACACAGAGGTTGACCAATTACTCACTCTCATTTTTGTATTTCTGGATGACTCCAGCTCTCCCTCCTTAATTCTGGACTCAAGTTTTTGAGTGTGTGGAGCAAAGCAAGAGCCACGTTTTAAGAAATGCAGGCAGAGGAAGAGCGAGGTTTTTGTGCTGACAAAGCTGTTCTCCAGTGCAAGGCAGATTGTTTGGCCAGAGAACTACCAGAGAAAACTCTTCAGGCTGAAACCCCTCTCGTAAGAAAGTGAGGAAAGAGAGGGAAGGTTTCCCTTTCTAGTTTGATAACTAATTTCTACTTTAATAACCCTGAGCGTGTTTAACACACATTTCAGACTCGGTGAAAGAAGTGTTCCTCCTTCCTTTGCCTTGTCCATACCACTGGGATGGGTCCATTCCCTACGAGCTCCAGCTGTAGCCAGAGGGCAGTGGTATGGATGGAAGGGATCCATCTTATAAGTACAGGCCTGAAAGAGCAAAGAATGAACAGAGGAAAAGACACACAGGTGACCTCCTGCACCGCTCAGGGAAATCCCTGCCCAAACCACACACTGCTGCTGTGTCTCAGCAGAGACCCTCTGCAGATCAAACCTCTTCTGCAAGTGTCAGCTCCTGGATCTCCCCAGGATGGGGACCTGTGTGCACAACAGCAGCGTGGAGCAGCGTGCCAGGGCGGCACTTCAGCGTCAGCCCAGCACCGCAGTGACGCTTCGGCACAGAGGAAGGCAGCAGCCCTGGAGCTCCACCAAAGGCAGCAGCAAAGGCCAAACCGTTGTGGATGGGACAGCAGCAGGATGGACAGCACCTTCCTCGTGTAAAACGCCAAAACACCCCAAAAGCGAAGCCCTGCTGTGGGACAGAACCCGTCTCCAGTGTTCCAGACCCTGCGAGAGCAGCCAGCCACCTCCACGTCTTCCCAGTGTCTTTTTCCCACATCGTGGTCTCCACAGGATCTCGTGATGGAAACGCAGCGTGGATGCAACACGAAAACCGTTCTGACAGGACAGGGATACCTCAAGGACGTGCCGAGACCCAGCAGGGCACCACAGGTGTGGTGGAGCGACGGCGCTTCACACGATGCACCAGGTGGCAATGGAAGAGGCAGCAGCGGCCGGAGCGGCGGGGCACGGGTCGCCCTCACCCGCTCACCCCCTCGCAGGGCGCTTCTCCCGCCCCCAGCCGAACCCTCC